TGTTTTTTTTTTTTTTTTTTTTTTTTTTTTTTTTTTTTTTTTTTTTGCTGGGGTAGAGGAGAGGCGGCTGTGTCTTTATGAGTATAACTCATTTGCCTTGTAATTTCAAGTTGACTGAATGCAGGTGTAACCAGTAACTGGTACCCACCAAATGGAGGTGAGGGGCTAATCCCCATGGCCAGGATCCACCTGTGCCCACAAGTAACCCCAGCATGACCCAATTCCCGGTGAGCCCTGCTTTTATCCTTGCAGATGGTTGAGGGTATACAACAACCAAGGACAGACTTCACCAGGGCTGAGACATTGAGGGTTTTCACAGAACTGCCTCCTCAGTCTTTGGGAACCATGTGAACCATTAAAATTCAGTGGCTTTTTCCCCATCCGTAAATATTTTTTCAGTTATTGCTTGTTCCTGACCACAAAATGGCCCCTTTTTGAGAAAAGCCCCAGCATTCCACCATGGCATGTGGCATGGTGATAATCTTGCCCAGTGTCACCGTCAAGGTGTCTTTCTGTTTTTGTTTTTGTTTTTTTTTAGCTTTCAATTTCAATACTTGATGTTTTATTCACGAGGACCTGAGTGCAACGGTTTGTAACTGCACACTTTGTCCTTCCTTATGTTTTTTGTCTGTTCTTCCTAAAAAACAAACAAACCCAAAACAACAAAAAAAAAGGGGCCCTTTAATTTCTCCCTAATGCTCTAAATATAGTAAAACAGTTTGGCTGGATTTAGCAAAGCAAAGAGGACAACATAATGAAAATTATGTGAAATGTGGATTGAAGTAGGGCAGTGTCTCCTTAATGATTCCTGTGACCCTCTGTTTCTAGAAGGAAAGCTTTAAAAAATGCTCAGCCGCATAATTAAGCAAGCATATGTTCCATAATATCAACAGTCACAAGAAAAGCTTTGTTTGTTCCTTGATATGACATTTTATAGCCTACCTTCAAGATAGCAGTCCTCCATTGTTCTGCCTTGTGGCTACCACAGATTAAAAACATATTTAAAAGTCATTAGAGACAGTCTGGTATTCATGTTCGAAGCCCTACAACTGGGCAGAGTTGTGGAGTTTCGCCAACTCTCTCTCCCTCTTCCCTCCCCCCAAAATGGCTGGACCATTTGTACAAAGTCAAAATCTAAACGGTCGGAATTTTACAAACTTTTGCAATATGCTGACTTATTCAATAAAGGGTGTCCTAGGTACTGCCGAAATTCATGGGCCAGCCGTATGCTGAGCTCTTGAGCATGAGATGGATGTAGTCTGTGTAATCGGCTATTTTTAGAATGCTCGGAAGGCAAACGAAATACTTTGTGAGAGGACCCTGTGAAATGGTAGGACCCCTTCAGCTATGCTGCCTCTGACTTTGGCTATGTTCCCAGGTGTCTTATACCCGAGTTTCTCATTGGGAAAAGAGAATGCGTTTCATTGAAAAACAGGAGAAAGCTCAGAAAGCTGTTCATTTATTTACATGAAAACAACAGGCACGTTTCTGAATCTTAACCCGAAGAAAATTAGGCAGGGGTTTTGGTCTGTTTATGGTATATTCCCATTAATTGAAAAGAATTTATTCACTTAGATTGGACTTGCTACTTTCTAATTTGCAAATATCAGTCTCATGTTAAAAGTGGAGATAGGGGGAAAAACGGAGAAATGTGTGAACATGGAGAAGGTAGTAAAATTAGAGACTGAAGGCGAACCAGGCCCAAGCTCTAACATTGTTACCAAATACAGCACGTACAAAACATTGGTTTTTAATCAGACTTTTTTTCCCCTTTAAGTCATTTTGCTTTTATAATCAGTGTTTTCATTTGCTTTCATCTCAGGCTGACCGCTCAAAGTCTAGAATTGAATTGCTTACAAGTTGCATCTTGAGACCATTAAGTATCTCATAGCCTCAGTGGTTTTGAAAATCTGTTTTACATTGTGATGGAAGGAGGTTTTCTATTGTTCCTGAAGGAGATACTGATAAATGGGGAGGGGAGAGGCCCTCCCACTACATGTTGTCATCAACAGCCATGGATACAGAAAGGATGAATTTCAGGGCTGGTGACAGGTTCCTCAACTCACTTATCTTCCCCCTCCCATAGCGAATTTTAGTTCATCCCGTGGGGGTACTTGGAGGACTAGTTTTAGCCGACAGATGAGTCCTTGATGTCCCTGAAAGATTAGTTTTTAAACTTTGAAATGAGTCATTTCAGTGTGGTCAGCAAAACATGGATTTTTTCTAAGACTTTTAGTTTATTTTGTTTTATTTCTATTTCATTTTTAATTGTTTTGTCTACACAAGCCTTTTTGGCTTGGGGGGGGGCATTTTCTGCATTCCTTCATTGTAAAGCTGAAGATTGATTTTCTGGGTATCAGGCCCAAATGTGTTGCTCTACCGGTTCAGCCTCCCAGCTCTCATTGGCCGAGCTGGATTCTGCAGATCTTCTTGTCAGCCAGTGAGCTAGCATTTATAAAGCTTCTGCTTTGTGCCAGGCACCGTGCTAAGCATCGGAAAGACATTGAAGGCAGCAGCAGAAAGTAGTCACCTTGGCCACAAGAGAGTGAGGGCTGCCATGATACTACTAGCTAGTGTTCACATTGTGCTGTAAGGCTTACAGAGCCTCATTTCATTAATAAAACTTCCCTGGAAGGTAATTCTCACTATTCTTCCTACTTTATAGCTAAAGAAACTTAGGCACACAGTTTAGGTGATTTTCCCAGGGTCTCACAGTTAGTAAGTCACTGAGAGCAGATTTGAATTCATGTCTTCTTTACTCTGAGTCCAATAGCCTAACCACCTGCCACCTCATTGCCTTTCATTATGCAGGTGGGCCCTCTCATTCCTTCAGCGAGGCATTTAGGTGGCACAGTAGATAGAGTGATGGGCTTGGAGTCAGGAGGACCTGAAGCCAATCCTGCTTCCAACACTTACTAGCTGTGTGACCTTAGAAGAGTCACTTAATGTCTGTTTGCTTCAGTTTCCTCATCCTATAGGATTGTGAAGGTCAAATGAGATAATGAATGGAAAGTACTTTGCAACCCTCAAAGTATTATTATTATTAATTATATGTAGTATAAAAATAGCCACCCTTGTTAGTCAGTCAGTAAAACATTTATCAAGCACCTACTATGTACCAATCACTGTGCTAAGAAAAACAAAAGACAGAATCTCCTGGCCTCGAGGAGCTCACAATCTAATGGGTGAGGTAAGATGCAAAAAAATTGTACAAACAAGCCACAGATAGGATATATAGGATATAATTAACAGAGGGAGGGCATTATAATTACAGAACAATTGAGAAAGGCTTCCTGTAGAAAGTCAGAGAAGCTGGGGCAAAAATGAGAGAGCATTCCAGACGTTAGGGAACAGCTGGAGCAAATGCCTGTAGTCTGGAGATGGAGTGTGTCATTCAAGGTACAGCAGG